TTTTGTTTGTTGTATTCGCGAGAAAAAAGAAAGTTTTGACTACGTTTCAGTGAATTGTTCTACCTTGTATTTTCAGATTAATCCCATTCGATTAGTTAATATCACGTTATTTCTGATGAGCTTGTGATTGTTCATCTGAAAAAGCATGCCATCTTCACATTTATTCGATTGTTTTTTCGCTCAAATCACGATGCCATCGGACCTGTCAAATCATTATTGAGGTTAAGTATACTGGGATTGAGTAATTGGAGATGAACCTGAGGTTGAGCAGTGGCCATTCAACTAAAGCCCGGCGAAGCATTTCGCGTAATAGTCTAACGCTGAGCAGTGAGCGCGTGACGCGGCTCAACCTCGGGTACATGTGACGCGCGTGGAGTTTATCCCAAGCTGGGGCGGAGTGGCGTATTTCTAGCTGGGATACGGGTTCCGAGCCGAGCTCGAGCGACGTGATTTCTACCCGGGATGATTGATTTGAAAAGGGAAAAATAAAAACTCACGATTAAAATTGAATAAGTTTGCGAGAAACTAAGAAAGTCAGAAGCATGAAGCACATAACATTATAGTAACTTCACAAGCGTAATTTTTGCAAATCAAAATGCAGTTAAACTAACCAAAGTTCAAAAGTAACCACGACAAATCTATCGTGAGTATAACTATAAAATAGTAGCAATGACTACATTCCATTGTAATAATCACTTCTCCGGCCATAGTTACCGTAACCCATGAGAAATTGTTGAGGACTTTTTGACTATAATTCGATGGTGATGGAAGATAGTCAGAAAAATCATATTTTTCTCTCAGTGCGGGGACCTAGATCACTCTTGATTTTTTTCTGATTTTTTCTATTTACCATTATTAATTTACCATTATAGCGATTTATGCTGGTGCGGTGCCGTGCTTACGGCGCGACCAACGGAGTATTAAAAGTAGGGACACCTGCAGGAATTGACTAGGCCGTGGTCAAACGCGTATTCCCCCTGATTGTCCTCGAGGGTAAAAATTATGCGTAAATTGCAATTCAGTAGTGAAGTGGTAAACGAAGATAAGTCGACTTATCTCCCAGTTGAGTTTTTGAGGAATATTTCCAAATCTAAGGGAGATAGCGAAGTTTTCGTGATTACATTTGTTGTAGCACTCAATCGGCTCCACAAAAAAGGTAATAACAAAAATTTCACGATCTCCCTTAGATTCCGAGATACTGATTGAAAACTGGTCAATAGTCAAAATTGACTTATCTTCTTTTACCACTTCGGTACTGAATTAATCTCGACAGATCCTTGAATAAATGGATATTCTATGCTGCACTTGAAAGAAATCATTTGCTAGAGAAGAAGGCGAAAGTGATTATAATATTTTTATTTTCATCATCTTTAGGGAAATAATTTATTATAAACTTCTCCTTTTCGTTGAAGAAAATTCTCAATTTTTCCTCGATTCCAACCTTCGACAATTTTTCATTACGACAAAGTATGGAAAACTGCTCCACATGAGAAATACCAACTTTTTTTGAAGGCTGTACTACCCTTGTACCGGACACACTTCTTCATCTCGACAATGTCGATATTTTTTCCACTCAACTGTCGACTTACATTGATAATTTTCAGCTGATGCTAGAACTATCCCACAAGTTCCACGCTGATCATAAATGTCTCTGATCAAAGGTGTATGATAATCACTTTCTTCAGTCGCTTTGACAAGAAGCACGGATGCTGCACTAAAGAAAGTCTCCAACAGTATCAGGGAAATAGAAAAATTAATTCCCTTTTTATATGACAGGGAATTATTATTTTTTCCGTTGTTATTAATCATAGTTCTACCCAACTGAACATGAGATATACATGTGAACGTTTTGATTTGAATCCAGTCTGGTGGAAGTCTTGATCGTCTCACATCATGTCTTTGTTTTTCTATGTACTCAATCGCATCGATTTTTTATCATACTTTGAGGCCTCGTCGCAAACTGATTAATATTTGCACTCACTTGGCGAATTCTCGCTTTGTTCACATACTTTCACATGTGTCGCATATTTTATACATTGGCATAGTGGGTAGCCGTTTGTACACAGCACGCGATGCGCGCCGATAAAACAATGCAGCCCGTAATCCAAGAATACACAAATGCGTATCTGCTCATCTGTGTTTACTCCTTCTATTTTTCTGGAACATCGTGGGATCTTTCGTTCATATCTCATCGTCATAAAAATCCCGCGTTTACCCTCTACTCTGTTGTTTAACTATCGAAAAAACAGTGGAGGTCATCAGTAAATTCAACATTCTCACTTTGTCCACACATGTATAGGGCCAGAAAAAGATATTTTGTCATGCGAATTGATGGATTATCGAACAATTTTGGACTGAATAGTGGCTGGCTGATTAGATGGATAGAGCTCAGAAAAGCGCAATAAGCATTTCCGTAGAAATGGACAAGAAACTAGTAATGTGAATTTAGTAATGAAGTATAATAAGTAATGATCAGATCAGTCATAGACATATCAATCAATCATAATTACCGTTGAATTGTCCAGTTGTCAATTTTTAACATAAATCTTAAAATTTTAAATATTAAAGTAACCATCGTACATTTAAATTTCGAAATATTCTATCAACCAATAATTTAGGTAGGAAGGTTGACGATTATTTGGATAATCGAAAATCAAGTATCTAAATTTAGAATTAGCTTGTTAACTAAAAAATTATATTTCAGTATTATCAAATATTTTATTCACCATCAATCGAAAAAAATTAACTAATAAATTCTATATTTTAAATTTGTTAAATATAGTTAAATTTTGAACAATATAAGGAGACAATTCCTTTTTAATACTGTCAAAATCTAATATTATTAGCTATCCCTAGATCAGATCTCTATGATAGTGGTACCCTTTCAGGTTTTCCCAATTGAATCATTCCAATAAATCTAGAATAAGACTACGTTTTCTTCTATCAAGTAATTCCTTTTACGACGAAATAAGAAAGGCAGTCAAAATGAAAAATCATGTTCAATCAGATGAAATTATTCATTATCATGGGTGTGTATTATAACATTTTGGTGAGAGGAGATAATTGCATCCGTGACCTGAAGAGATAGAGTAAAAGCATGTTAAACTTATTTCTTTGGAGGAAAGCTTAAGGATAATCGGGCGAGGAGGAAATGTAGGAGGTGAGGCGGAGGGGTTTCTGTTGTTTTCCTGCAGAAAACCAATCGCTGAACAAAACAATTTTTCCCATTCGGATTCAAAATTGAGGCAATATTAAGGAGTATCTCCGGTTAAAAATTATTTTTGGAGCTAATCAAATTTATTTGTATCTGCACTGAGAGAAAAATCTGAAGTTCGATTTACAATAAGAAAATAGTTGAAGCATTTTGGTGAACGATACGATTTTTTTTTGTATGCGGCACATAACATTATAGTAACTTTACAAGCGGAATTTTTGCAAATTAAAATGCAGTTAAACGAAAAACCAAAGTCCAATTACTTCTCCGGCCATAGTTACCGTAATCCATGAAAAATTGTTGAGGACTTTTTGACTATAATTCGATGGTGATGGAATATAGTCAGAAGAATTATATTTTTCTCTCAGTGTGTTCCACGCATTGAATGGTTTTCAGATTGTTTTTTTTTAAATAAATGAAAGAATATTAATCCATGCGAAAAAGTGACAGTATCGTCGGTAGTTTTTTTTTCACCAGGAGCTGGTACCACTGGCTCGAGGGAGCTCCAATCACAACGCTTCATCGCTCTCTCTCAACAGACGTTTAAATTGACCACGCTATTCCCACCCGATCGGTATTTGGGACGTTGCTGCTCGTTTGGGCTGCGTGCGCAGAAATTTCATTTTTCAGTACTTTTTTCGCTATTAGTAATAAACAATGCTCTTAGGCGACAATCTTTTTCACTCAAAAAATCATTGATCACATGTTCTAAATGTGTCTAAAATTTCATGACTTTGGCTGCATTTTTTCCTTGGGTTTTGTAGTTTTTTTGGTGATTTCCATAAGATCACGGGTTAAATGACCACTACTTCAAAAATTCATAATAAATTAACCATGCTCCCCAGCAGTCTGGCACTTTGCACACGCCTGTTTCATCATGTAAAGAATACGTAAAAAAAAAGAAAAAAATAGCTGTTTTTTTTTCAACCCTTTCAGTTCGCCCGATTATCCTTAAGGAAAATGTCTGATCTCTCAAGGAAACAAAAACAAATTTTTTTTTTTGTAAAAAAGATGATTTTCCAAAGCCGTTGGTACTGCGTCTACTGATGTTTTATATGATAAAGATTTTTTGTTCAACTCTCTGTTTCACAGCTATTCTTCTTGCAACAATTTGATTGCCTACTATAACCATTAATTTGATATTCCTTGACATGATTTTCCTTTTATTTGTGTATTCTTTTTCTAAATTTCTTAAAAACCATATTACTCTTCAAAAAATAGTGTGCCTCTTTTCAAGAAACAATCAAACAAAATTTTTCCTTGGTTGAATTTTTACAAAAAAAAATGTTTTTGTATTTTTAGAGATGTTTCCCGATTTTTTTTCAAAATGGCCACATGTTCATTTTTCCGACTTTTTATTCCTGTTTTTTAAATTCGATGGAATTCATTTTTTGCCTCCTTCTTTCGCGAAACCGGAAGTTCTACTGCACTCTGATTTATTGCAATCGGATTTTGAGATATAATTAAGGAAAACGCTTCACATTTCAGTTCACTGGAGAATTGAATTATCGGCATATACCCGTCAATAATTTTTATACTTTATCCTGTTGAATTGATGCAATTCCACAAAAAAAAAATAATTTTCCATTTTGCTTTACGTCGAGAATGAGAAAACTTAACGTTTCTTAGCAACGCCTCCGTCTGTTTAGATCGAACAACTCCTTCTTAGGCGGAGAGCAAATTCTTTCAATGATGAAAATGATGCAAGCAATCAGGAACCCAGCAGCTAACATAGTCAAAAGTGGTATGATTCCTTGAAAATGCACTGATGGGTAACAGATTTCATTTCGATGATACTCAGAAAAGTACTTGTTACCCAATCGTTGTAATATTCCGTTGTCACCAAATCTCCGAATCCTTCAATACATTTTATCCCAATCAATTGTTTGCATACCATATTAACCAATGTTGCCTACCTGCTTTGAACTGTGACTTACTGGAAATTAACGAGATGTCTGTGTTGGCTATTTCGCGGAAGGGCCAGTGCCAAGTTTGCGGTTTTTCCAGTGTATACAGAAGTAAGTTCACACGGTAGTCTGTTGGCCATAGCTCGTCTTATAGCTTCATGTGTATAAAATACCACTTGTTGTGTGCATGCCTGGAGAATTAACCTGACTTTAACTTTAAAGCAACTCTATCTTGAAGATAAATTTGAAGGGTATTAATAACTGTCATGAGTTCCAGAAAACTTGATTAGATTCGGACTCGTAATTGGAGTTTTTAAATAACAAATTTTGAAAAATCAGGATTTAACCCAGCATCGTATGTGAAAATCAACATGAAAATCTGATCTTTTCGCATCCGAATGAAAGCTTTGTGATAGTTGATTTTGACGATCTAATTTTGCCTGGCAATGATGTAAAATGACATGAAACGTGAAGACATATTTTTAGAAAATGTGTGTTTGCACGTCCGTATGTATGTGCAAATTTTTCAGAAACTTTCTATAAATGTTCACAGAAAAGAACTAAAGTTGAAGCTGAAAATCTTAAATTTTGTCACATAATTGATGTTATTTTCGAGTATTTCTGTATTGGTAGAAAAGTTGGAACGATTAGTAACTGTTGACGAGGCTTCTTAACAATTGGTGTGATTCATTGACTATTAACGAATCATGGGAATGGTTAAGAAGCCTCGTTAACAGCAACTAAATCCTTCTATCAGCGTGAAAATATCCAAATTCTTAAAATATCCATATCTATAGCATAACACGCTGAATGTATAAAGCTGCTTCAATCATTTTCTGGAATCACATAGAGGGTGATCTCTATGAATCAAGCAAGTGACGACAGTACACAAATAAATCAGCAGCAAAGTGGTAAAGTGGTACAAGTCAATTTTGACTATTGACCAGTTTTCAATGACTATATCTCGGAATCTAAGGGAGACAGCTAAATTTTTGTTATAACCTTGTTTGGAGAGGGGCTGGTTTTAGGGTGGATTGTGGGAGACGGTTTTAAATGTGAAGGCTGGAAAGGATTAAATTCACTGATTATAAAATACACTATTTATTAGTGGAATCGAACCACTTCGTTGATTAAATATCTACACTTAATTTAGTCTCTTTCACGGGGTGAGTTACTGAGTTGACAAACCACTATTAATTCGCTGATATACTGTCCGTGCTAATTGTCTCTGATAATTACTTTAACGTTTGAATTTAAATATAGTGATATACTTTACACGTTGAGAGACACGTCGACGCGCGCCTTCCGTTAATGCTGTTCTAACACGTTGATAATTTAATGCTGATGTACTAATACGTTGCTAAACTATAATCTCTTGCTGATATAGTTATTTCACGTTGATTCTACTCTATTCCTGATATTCTAATCTATTACATTTGCTGTTGAGTTGAGAGGCTAGCTAACAACTGAACTATCACTGCTTTTACATAGTTGAGACGCGACATCTCAGACGCTACGCCTTATACCGTGACTCTATGACTACCGATGTATACTCCTTGAGAAATAGATTGACACTCTTTGATGACTAGATTGATATTGAAAAGTCCTTTCTGGGTGATTTGCTGACCGGTGATCGTTGACAGGAAGTGTTCCGATTAATTTCGAGGATTACCGAATTATTTGAGTGCTAAAATGATGGAATGATAGCTAAGTTTCAAAGAAACCTTTTTTGTAGAGCCGGCTGCGAGCTACAACAAATGTAATTACGAAAATTGCGCTATCTCCCGTGGATTCCGAAATATTCTTCAAAAACTCAACTGAGAGATAAGTCGGCTTAAACCATTTTATCATTTCGCTGCTGAAATATCATTGACAAGGTGTGTGTGAACGTCCGCATGAGGGCTTACTCGCTGATTTTTGTCGTCGAGATATTCACGTTTTTGTGTTTGCACCTACCATTTGAACCGATGTTCAATTATTTTTTGATCATGTGTAGCAATATCGTTTTCAACTTCATCTATTTGGACTTCAAGTATGCGGGATTTTATCAATATTATCGAAGTAGACATAACTCCGTATTTACAAAGTAGACCTTTGTCATGCGGACGATCACATATATGTACACGTCAGAAGTTTCAAGAAAGCTATGAAATGTCCCTGTCAATTGGAATACCTGGTTAAATGCTTCTTGAAAGCTTTGAGGCAACAAATCTATCGGTTTCATCAGCGACATCATTTTCTTCATGAGCGTCTGGTTAGAATTCTACGGGATAATGATAAGGAAATTTGATAAAAATTCAGACAGAGTATGATTCATGCACATAAGGATTGTACCCACCTAGGTTTGCGCACAAATGGTAAAATCGAATGAGACGTGTATATTAGACTTTTTGCACAGTGCATATTAGATCCTTTACAGCGTCATTCTGTTATATGCACATGAGATAAATTGAAAAACAAAAAATGTCCGCTTTGAAAAATGATGAATAATTTGCGCAAATATTATGCACGCTAATTAATTGAGAAGAAAAAGTTGTACACATTTTTCTTGCACGTGAGAAATGGATTCAAGTTGTGCACATATTTATTGCAAAGGTTCACAAAAGTAATGGGTATTGTTATTTTTGCGCACGCAATTAAATAATCAATCAGAAAGATAGTTATGCACAAAATATCGGGCACGGAATATCCGCAATTCAGAATTCCACGTGTTATTTCTCATTCTTTAATTTATTCTTTCATTATAACAGTGATATCTTCACGTTGAAAGTCAGTTGTTATAGGGGAGGATGGGGCAAAACGGCCCCCCTTCAATCGTCAATATTTTCCGATTCAATAATCCGATTGGGATGAGTTAGAGCTCGTTTTGAAGAATGAAAAATTATCTTCAAAATGAAGTTGAAACTGGGAATTTTCACAATGTCATTCACAAGTTATTGACAATTGAAGGGGGGCCGTTTTGCCCCACCCTCCCCTATTTTGTCAATGCGGGAGAAGTGAAAAAAAAAACGCGAATCCTATCCTACCGTAAAAAGGAGAAAGGAAAACGATCTCGAAATATCGCGAAAATCTCAAATAAGCGTAAGCGTAAGACTGAAACCGAAGCGCCACTACGTGAGGAGGTGAGACGGCGCGTGCGTAGCACGCGCGGCCGATCTCGTCGATTGAAAAAGTGAAAATTAGCTGAAAGGGGTAAGTAAAGACCCAAGTTTCAACCTTTTTGTTGGATTTTCACCCATTTATGTTTGTGTATATTCTTTTGTGGTTTGTATGGGGGGGGGGAGGGATGAAATGGGATATCGGGACATAATTTCAAAAAAGTGACTAATTATTATTTTTTGCTTGACAGCTTTCTGCGAAAGATGCGTCATAACTCTTACAAGGAGAGGCCGGCTGATCAGTAAATGTTCTTTGGCATTTCCCTCGAAATTGTGTTATCCCATATCTCTAGAATGTCAAAAAACATTCTCTGTAGTCCAAACGACTTTCTACAAAAAAGTTTCTTCAGCATTTTTCCTTGAATTGCTCCCTTTCGACCATATTTTGAAAATAATCTGTATGTAATACATGGTTTCGTTAATTTTACACATTATTCTGTAAATATCTCCAACAACTAGGAAATTTAGGAGAAAATCTACACTTTCTATAGTTGAGGAAATTCGCTACAAAAAGTTTTCAATTTTTTTTTTCGATTTTTCGTAAGATAAGCGACATGATACTAAATTACTAAAAAATGGTTGAAGAGAATGGGAAAATTGAATCTCAAGTTCTTAAACGATAATGTGAAGTTGAAGAAAATAAATAAAATTTCATATTATTTTATTGACAGATTGCCAATTACCCTGAAATTAATCACATTGATTTTCCCCTGGAATTTGAGGGCTGCCTTTAGAGTTGGAGTTGGGGACTATAGTCAGAGATGGGGGTTAGAGTTAGGGCGAGGGGCTGGTCACTCCTCAATTGAGTGACTCAGTGATTTCCAGAATCAGATGATTTCCTGTGATTTCTTGTGATTTCCATGATTTCTAGGAGATTTCAATGATTTCTTGATTTCTAGAAATCACTGGAGAACTCATGATTTCGGGATCAGAGTGGGGCATCTGTGGATAATGGCAGTTTTCTACATGACGTTATAATATATAAAGATGTCAAAAACTTCATAGTGTCACATTTCGGGATAGGGTGATTTCGAACGCACCGATACCATAACAAAAATTGTAGAGTTGAAACTGCAAAATCAATTTAGATGTTACACTTATTTATGATTTCTAAGGATTTTGGAAATCACCTGATTTCTTTATGATTTCTATTGATTTCCAATGATTTCCAGAAATCTTTAGAAATCACTACTGATAATGGAAATCATTTGATTTCCAGTGATTTCCATCGATATCTGGTGATTTCTTCCTTGATTTCCAGTCGAGTGGTCCAGTGATTTCCTAAATGACCAACCGGGGTTCGGGGTTTAAGTTGAGCCTTGGCGTTGTAGTTGGAGTCGGAGGTTGGAGTTGAATGTGAGAGTGGAAATTAGATTTTTCTGCTTAGTTAATTTCTTTATTTGACAAAATTTTATTTGAACGTAATTAAAAAATACAAATGAGACCCATATGTTTCTCCCCGCGAACCTGTCATGGAGAGCACGATATTCCAACTCCAACTGTCCCATCCTTTGGACAATCCCGATGAGGCACTCGCGCAGCCCAAGGGTGAGGAGCACTGGACTTTTGGCCCTTTCCACGAGGGCCATCATCTTTGCCAAATGATTCAAAAGCTTGATCAACTCTGAAATTTTCGCATTAGATTCAGTGGAGAGATGAATTATCAAAAATTATGCGATCAAATTTTAGTACATAAATAGATTGTAAAGAATAACTCTAAAATATGTGATTGAAAAAAAACTATGAAATAAAAAAATCAGTAGAGGCACGATCATCGTCCTTGACGTAGATCAACAGATGGAGAATTATATTGATATTAGGCAGTCAGTTATGTAGAAAATTACATGAATTAAACACGAACTTACCTTTATAGCCCAGTGGCTTGTATTGGCGCAGTGGGTAAGTTCGTTACCTCACGTGCGAAAGGTTCCGAGTTCAAAACCCGGCCGGGTAGAATGGTGAGATCTAACTATTTAAAGTCTTGATTGATCATCATCGCAGCATACCCCAATCGGGTCAAAGCGATGTAAAATAACGATTAAAAAAATAACTTACCTTCACCAGTTGTCTCAATCGTCACGTGGCTAGCAATTTTTTTAAACAGAAGAGGAAATCGTGAGAGGAGTGGTCGCAGCGAACTGTCACATTTCTGATTATACGCGTTAGTCATTTCTTCTCATGATTTGCAGTGTCATTAGTTCTTCATGAGATTTAAAAGCAAAAAAGAGTAGTCCACTTCTCCAGATCCTTTTTGAAGTGGAACTCTTTTAAACGCGTTGGGAGTGAAAATTCAAGACCGCGTCACGGTTTCAAAATCAATATTTTCATTCAACCCTTTTTTATTTAGTAGTACCTTTCTAATCAAATTTTTTGAGAATATGATCTGCTATTCTGTTCATGATTTTTAATTCCCTATTCATGCAGACCCCATCGAGGGCTGCGCCCCCTGGATTCTCTCTCTCTCACATGTAATGCCGCATTTATGATAAAAATCATCATTCAAACTCAAAAAGTGAGTAATTGACAATTTTTTAAAATTGTATGGCAATGTTGCATATACAGGATGACGTCTACACCTTGTTTACAAATTTCAGCCAGATATAGAATAAGAAATCGGGAATTCAATGTTACAAAAATGACTAAATTCCGATAATAGACTTTCAAATGGTGAACATTAAAAGTTTTCAATACTTCAGCCCATTACATTGCGATTGACTACCGCCATGATTGGAAACAATGACGCAGTGGTCAATGGAACTTGATATGATAGTTAATATCGCTCTTCATGTTGGTAAAATTATCGGTTCATGGTTGCAATGAACATTCCTCAAATTATCGCACATAATGGCGCTCCAACTATCGCGCATAATGTCGCTAAAATCATCGCAGTAAATATCACCATAATTTTCGTACCATCACCAAAATTACGGAACACTGGAAAAATTCCGTGACTGCTCCGTAAAATTTTCTACAACCACATTTCACTCCAGAATTACGGAAAAGATACGTAATTTTTATTGAATATTTCTCTCCGTGTGCACGGAGAGAAATGTTCATTAAATATGACGGAACTCACAATTCGCTCACCGATTACGGAATGGACTCAGAAAATTTAAATGACGGTATCGTAATTTTTCACTGGAGATTCAGATTAAAATTACGGAACGCTCTGGAAAAATTCCATTACAGTTCCGTAAAATTTCCTACAACCACATTTCGCTCCGGAATTATGGAAAAGATACGTAATTTCTATTGATTATTTTTCCAACCCAAATATCGGGCAATATAATTGGCCCATTCGACATCACGTGGTACAAGCTACAGGGTTTTCAACTGATAATTTTTTGATAATTTTCTCTGGTAGTTGCTATATAAAAAACAAAACATCATGCAGTCGAATTAACCCCTCGTCAAACTGACAGATTGAATTCAATTGTATCGTTGTGTTAATTATAAAATTTTCGTTTCTCAATTGTGAGTTTCGTCTCATGGTCCAATTATATTGCCCGACATTTGGATTGGAAAAATAATCCCCCGAATACCACACGAGCTTCAAAATTAATCGGGCATTTTCCTCAAGGTTCCCTGCATACAAACGAAGTCGTCAAGTTTTTCAGGAAAAATCACTCGTGCTTCGCACTCGTGATTTTTTAACCTGAAAAACTTGACTCCTTTGTTTGTTTGCAACGAACCTATCGGAAAATACCCGATAATTTTGAAGCTCTTGTGGTATTACAAGTGAATATTTCTCTCCGTGTGGACAACTTTTTCTTTTTTTTAAATTTATCTCATGTGCACATAACAGAATGACACTGTGTACAACTTGAGATTTTAATATTTTGTGATTGAATTTGATGTGTACTTTAAAAATTTTAATGTCAATGTCTTATTTGATTTTTACATTTGTGCACGAACCTAAATGTGTATAATTCTTATGTGCATGAATCATACCCTGTGAAAATGCAACAGAAACAGAAAATAAAGTATAGAAGTTAGCTATGTAGTCACAAGGATGGGGTGACCGGAACATTGAAGGTTCATGATTGAGGGAAATCCAACGCTGTCAACAATATGACCTCTTATATAAGGCCTAAAAAGAAGGGGAGGGGAGCACAGCAGTATGAAAAAAAGAAAAAATTTTCTATACGGATTGCGTATAGAATTTCTATAGGATTTTCATATATGATATTCGACTATTTTTATACGGATATTTTTTATACAAATTATTTCTATACGATTTCTATAGGTTTGATCTTATTCGACCCACTGCCACATGTATACACTGATAGAGAAGGTGGAATGATTCTGTTGCACCAAACGCGGCTTCTTAAGTGTTACCGCGATTCGTTAATAGTTAACGAATCGTAGTAATAGTTAAAAAGTCTCGTTTGGTTTGACTAAACCGTTCTATCAGTGTAGAAACATTTCATATGGAGTTGCGACATTTCTCAACGGTTTTCTCTGGAGCGTTTAGACATCTTTCGCATGAAAACAAAAATTTATGTGAAAATTTATGTATAGAAATAATTCGTATAGAAATATCCGAATATCAAATACGGAAATCCTATAGAATTTCTATACGCAATCCGTATAGAAAATTTATATATACGGAGAGAAATTCTCTAGAAGAATTCTAATACGAGTACTGGAAAAAATCACAATCCACCGTCTGTGAAAAATTCTAGTGCTGTTAAGGTAAAATTTCTTGGTATTTCTGGAGATTTCTGTGAAACTTTCACAGAAGTACGGGGAAAAATTCACGTTTTCCCCAATAAAATTTCTAGTGCCACTAAAACATTTCTCTCCGTGTCTAAAATTTTCTAAAACATTTCTCTCCATGGACGATTTTTTCATACGTGCAAGGACTGAACAAAAAAAAGTTAGCGGAATTATGCTTAATTACCTTGAACATATCATAGTCTGGACTATCTTTCAGTACAATCAGTTGATAACTACCATCTTCCACAAATTCTTCTATCGTATTAAATGGTGAATATGTAGAGGAGACAGCGAGAAAACTTATGAGTGCTGCAGAATATGCGCCTGAGCTGACTAACGCTGATATGAATATCGATAGATAAACAATTCTCAAGGATGCTTCTTTGGGAAATTCTATTGGAAATTATTATCATGTAAAATCCACTATTGGAGACATATGTCATAAAAAATCGTCCTCGAGTACCTGGTAATCCTTGTTGACAGTAAATACCCCAAACGCATAAATAACGTTCGAAAACCAGTGGAAGCAAATAACAGTCTTTTTTCTTATAAGTGATGAGGGTTAAAAGAATGGGTATCGTTAAAATTAATCCAACAATAACCATCCACACTTCTACTGTAAATGCCTATAAGTAGAGAATTAAAAATTATAACGAAAAAAAATGTCGACTAGTCAAAATTAATCACAACCTGGAAATAAGCATTCCAATGCAGACGAGCAGCATCAAGTTTTCTTGAATACAATCGGGTACCCCCAACTCCAATGGGAATTGTATAATCCATTACATATAATCGTTCATTAGTCATGCGCAATTCCGATAGTACCAAATCGGCTTCATTCCGCTCAAGTGTTCCTACGACACCAGTCCACCGCGATGTTTCTGGATTCCAAGTTCCGTAACTCTCTTCCCAGATCACTTTTGGCGTGAAATTCAACGATTGAGACAGTTCTCCTAGAAATTCACCTAGATATCCATAATATTTGCCGTTTGTTTCCCAAAAATAGACTGATTGCTAAAATTGAAAGATTTCTCGTAATTACTCGTAATTACTCTCTATAAATGTTTAAAATGTTTGAATGTCGGAATTTCCATCTGAACAAAACAGAATTACGTATGAAAATCTATAAAATTATTCAATAGCACGATCTTATGAAAAAAATTGCCATATGTCTCCCTTAACAGACAAATTTCTGAAAATTTCAACTCCCTATGAAAAATTTTCTCAATTTTCTTTCAGATAATTTCAATAACAAAGATACCTACTATCGTATCCAATGAATAAAACGCTGAGCGACTTTAATAAAACTTTTCTTATAGAAAAATTGATCAAGCCAGATGGAAAAAATCTTCATACATAGGGTTGAACTTTGTTTTTATCATGACATATTACGCCTTCAGTAAAGTCCCAAAAATTACTCAAAATAAGTAGGGAAATGTATGAAATGAGTTGGATGAAGATTTTTCTTTTTCAAAGTATATACCCTTAACCCCTCAGGTACGGCGTCGATACTATGCATCGACTCATAAACTTGTCCTATCAGCCGGGGTCAATTGCATGGTATCGACCCTTTCCGTCAGCAGTAAAAAATCATTTTCTCGAATTCTAAGAGACATTGACATTTGGAAAAGACATTTGGAAGGTCAATGGAATTGTCTCTGCAGTGAGCTATTTTATTTTATTTTTATTTTTTTATGCATTTATAATATTTTTTTCTATGAACCAAATTAGTAGATGAAAATTTTACATCCAACAGATTCAATCATATTAAATCATCTCGTTTATCGACTAAATATTGCCCAAAAATTTTGAAATTTTTACTGAAAATACTTCAATGATCGTTCTATCGAATGGCAGGAGTAAAATTTTGATTTGTTGAATAGTTTGCTTGTTATAAATAAATTTAGCATGTCCGATAATCTCGGCAACCAATTGTCGGCAAACATTGTTATTGGTGTCGAAAATTAGGAAATTCGCTAGGAGTTTATTTCAAAGTTCAATACAGCCAATGCATTTTATTCCAATATGTTTCGTTCGACTGTTTTTAAGTTATCGTCCATTGAATAACGGAATTGATGCGCCGTAAGTCTCCCGGCCGTTGGGCAAGGAGCGTCATATGGGCGCCGTACGTGAGGGATGAAGATAAACTCCAAGATTATTACAAACTGCATAGAATTGTGAGAAAACTCAACGAGATTCAAAATCGTAATTTCTTTCTCCATTTAATAAACGTTTTAATTTACGAAAAATCAGAAGTTAACCCGGCGTCTTATATAAAAATCAACATTTCCATTACGATTAACCTTCGATCGGTCGCGTCATGGCACGAGCGCCCTTCTGTCTCGATTTTTATTTTTTACGCCGAAACGTTGTTGAGAAAAAATCTGAAAAAATTGGAATTTCTACTTTCCACCATGTGAAACATTTAAACAATTTTTGTTCTGTGCATCTTTGCACCGATCAAAAATGAAAATTCCTTAAAAATTCGAGTCGGTCAAAATCTCTGTGTTTAAGCTCTAAATGTCAAATTTTCGCAACGAATGAAAATCAATTTTTGAATAATGTTTTCACTTTTCTCGTTTTATACTAATATTAGTTGTTAGCTGGAAGTTCAAAGTTACTCGTTTAATCATTTTTTTTTCTCAAAATGGTAAAATACACGGAAAGGCGCAGCGCTCATCACGCGACCAGTTACGTTTGGTGGAGAGGTGCGACCACTCGAGGGTTGAAGATGAAAATCTGCATTTCTTATCATTACATATGAATAAATTTGGTAATGTTTTAGACCCCACATAGAAAATGATGGACCGTTTTGTAAGCAAGTTCAATTATTGATTTATGAGAAGAACATGTTTAGAAGAATATTAATATTTTGCAAAACGCCATTTGAATGGTACTAATTAGGTATGATTTTTATCAAATTTTACTCACGCATTTTAGATGGAAAGTTCAAAAACTGAAATTCAAATCTATTCAAATCTATAGCACAGCTCCTCGAAAAAGTAGAGCTACTTCAATTGAAATCATGTAGATACAGAATTTTTTTTATGTATAACAAACATCTCAGTGCTCCGAGAGATTAGCCTATAGAATTTTCTACAGGAATGGCTATAGCTAAAGTTTCTAGAAGATTTTCATGCTTGCTGCTTCGTATTCATAGGAAATTCCGTTGATTGAGGCACGTCTGCAACTTTAACCTTGACAGCGGCGATGCGAAATTCTTGTCCTTCCATAGAATGTCTTCGGTTATAAACTGAATCATTGTAAAACCACTGGATTCCGTGATTCCCATCAGTCCATCGGCCAAGTTCAAGGCTAGCAGTATGTCCTTCCATTACAGACCACCATTCTTCAATCATGGTTGAGTTACAGCATGATACAACTACTTCTGTGCCATATCTCAGATTAAATACATTCCTCCGTGGGCTGTGACAAAATTCACAGATATCCGAGCTGATATTTCCGTTAAATAGAAATATCCACACAGCACAGGACATATCTAAATTCTTGGCGATTTTACTGAAGCTGTACACCTCGTCCATGGCTGCCAAAAAAATGACAACGAGTGGACGAACAGTTCGTTTAGTGTAGAACTCGAATCTCTCTTCGAATTGCTTGAAATTAATCATAAGCGTGGGTATCCCTTCGTCAGATAGAGTTCTAGATAATCCATGCCAGATTATAAGGGTCTTGAATGCTGCGAGTCATTCAAACACACATTAATGATATCCAAATATTTCTAAAATTCTTCGCTCGTAGAAAAACAGATCATCAATTTTTCAAAATTGAATAGATGAATATATTTTTGCCATTTATCTCGTATTCAGTAGACACGGAGTTTTCCATCAATAAAGTTACACCCTGTACATGACTTGAGATACACTGAGAAACAAAATTTACTTTTGCCAAGTAAATTTACTTGGCAGAAGTAATTTTTATCTCTGTGAATTGTCGGGGAGATGGCAACATTAAGTGGAAAGCCACTATTTTTGTCCGCGATTACGTTCTCATTTATTATTACGATTTCATTTTTATGGTTTCAGTCCAATCAGTTGAAGTAATGCATGAAGGAAAAATTTCTTACTTGAAAACTCTTTCTGTAAATGAATAATCTTTCTAATGAATAATGGGTCAATTTGGGGAGAGATGGACTCATTATAAATAATGAGAAATAAGTTGTAATGAATTTCGACAAATTTTTGAATAAATTCATAATATTACGGAAATACTTCTTTTTATAGCAACTGAACTTTTGCATTTTCTTTTTCCGCATTTTTCTAATACTTACAGTGATAGTTTTCAGCCGCTAGAATTATTCCACAAGTCTCTCGCGTCTCATAAATATCTGTGATCAAATAAGGTGTGTGGTCATAAACCTCCTCGTTCGCTTTAATGAAAACCACTAAGGCAGCACTTATGAAAGTCTTGAATAGTATCATGGAAATGGAAAATTTAATTTTCCTTTTATATGACAACGAATTATTATTCTTCTCAATGTCGTGAATCATTACTCCGACCGATTTTCTGATGCAGGTGGTTCGAATCTAATTTGTTAGAACCGATGATCGGTCTTTATAATTCCGAAAGAAGATTCGAATATATGGTATAATTTAATCGATCACCTATTTTCTCAGTCGTATCAATTTTCCAATTCGATATCAAGGCTGTGTCTCAGACTGATTGGTGTTGGCACCCACCCGGCGAATCCTCGCTTTGTTATATTGTCTCTGGTGCTTCATATTTCATACATTACTGTAATATGCAGCCATGCGTTGTGTGCACATCAAACGATGCTCACCGATAACACAATGCAGTCCGCTATTCAAAACACGATTGCTTATCTGTGTTTACTCCTTCGCTTAAAACATCGTAATGAAGTATTCCCTTCATATTTACATCACCACTAGAAACATCAATGGAGAGACAAGTTTCTTCGTTGAAGAAAAAACATTTTGATTCTATGAACCACTGTTAATAGATGGCAACGATAAAACATCAAAGGATGAATGTTATCAAGCTATTAAAGGTGCAAAAGATGCTTGTGGGAATTCAGATGAAATTCTATCAGAGTTATAAGGATTAGAGGTGTAAAGAGAATATCCACATATTAATGTTGGGACTGGATGATCGTAGCCAGGGACGGAATTAGCTTTATCCGGAGAGATACACGCGTACTATAGCGTAAACATCCTCTCAGCATTCGATCCGTTGGCGATGCAGATCTCGACGTGGTCAAAATAAATGACGAACCTGGGTCTAGGGTCCTCACGATGAACGGGACCGTCGATAGTCTGCCCTGGGTCGTGGGCAAGAGCACTCTTCCGACTGAGATATAAATATTCAAATACTATATTGTTTACATTTTTAATGGCGACTCTGTAAAGAAGGCGATCCTACAATATATGGACAAATATCTACTCTTTTAAAAAGTTATTTGAGGAGTGAATTTATTGAGTTTATACCCTTTCATTAAATTACTTCCTACAGAGGGATAATGAAAGTTAGAAGATTCATAAATGTCAAAAGAGTCAAATGAGAGTCAAACATCAGAATTACCATCAGTGCCGCAATAGTCAAGCCATGCCCAGGCCAGGAGGATCGGCCAACTCTCCCCTATGAAGCATTGATTATTCCAACGAGTGGTTTTTGAAGCGCTTCCATTCAAGAAATATCAATAGCAACCATATTGATTATAGTATAAACTAATAAATCGAAATAATAACACAACCAGTAATAACGATAGGGATCATACACTGAGAGAAAAATCTGAAGTTCGATTTACAATAAGAAAATAGTTGAGGCAGTTTTGGTGAATGATACGATTTTTTGTATTATGTGTATGGGGCACATAATATTATAGTAACTTCACAAGCGTAATTTTTGCAAATCGAATGCAGTTAAACTAATNAACATTTACTATGTTAACATAGTAACATTTACTAGGTTAACATAGTAACAATTACTATGTTAACATAGTAAAGTTTACTATGTAACATAGTACAGCTTACTATGTAAAATAGTAAATGTTACTGTGTAACAGNGTGGTTTTTGAAGCGCTTCCATTCAAGAAATATCAATAGCAACCATATTGATTATAGTATAAACTAATAAATCGAAATAATAACACAACCAGTAATAACGATAGGGATCATACACTGAGAGAAAAATCTGAAGTTCGATTTACAATAAGAAAATAGTTGAGGCAGTTTTGGTGAATGATACGATTTTTTGTATTATGTGTATGGGGCACATAATATTATAGTAACTTCACAAGCGTAATTTTTGCAAATCGAATGCAGTTAAACTAATCAAAGTTTAAAAGTAACCACGACAAATCTATCGTGAGTAGAACTATAAAATAGTAGCAATGACTACATTCCATTGTAGTAATCACTTCTTCGGACATAGTTACCGTAACCCATGAAAAATTGTTGAGGACTTTTTGACTACAGTTCGATGGTGATAGAATATAGTCAGAAGAATTATATTTTTCTCTCAGTGTAGTAAAGCACGTCATCGAACGACTTTTGTATTAAATGATTCTGCACGGAGAGAATTAAATAGTAAATATTACCATGGCCATGGTAGAGATTACTATGGCAACATAGTAAAAGGATTTTCAACTGACCCTACATAGTAATCCTTACTATGTCCCACGGTAATGCTTACCATATCACATGGTAATGCTTACCATGGTCACAAGGTAATACTGACCATGTTACATGGTAATCGTTACTATGTCACATGGTAATGCTTACTATGTCACATAGTAATGCTTACTATGTCACATAGTAATGCTTACTATGTCCCATGGTAATGATTACTATGCGAATGGAAAATAGTCCTATGAGCCAAAAAAGTATTCCTAAAATACATGGTTGACATTTTCCATTGTCTCTTGATGCGTAAACGGATGACGCTTAAGGCTCAGTAGTCGATGAACAGTGCACAGAAGCGGTCATTTACAATATGACAGAAGACTCAAGCACTCTTGGAACTACGGTAAGTATATTTGTTTGGTTTCATTGAATATATATAATAATGACGTAGAAAGAGAATTGAAAGTTGTGAAAAATTATCAGATTCAACGACTTATTATCAGAAATAATTTTTTCTCATTTGTAACTCATCCGTTTCGATAACATTGATCGATATCCTAGTGAATATGTAAAAAACAATGAAACACGATAATTATACGATAAGTATAACGATTAACGATAATTTATTAATTGAGAGTGTTATTCTTTCAATTCAAAAATATGGTTCTTAAGGGGAGACCGCCCCGAAATTTTGAAATCGGCGATGCCTTCTTATATCCCCTTATCTGTTTATGAAGAAGAAAGAGGCATTAGACGATGAAAATTAGCAAAAGTGTCCTCATAAAACAATTATCAACCGATTGACTGGAATTTTCGTTCACACATCCATAATATGTACACAAATATGAATGAGCTTCTTTAAAAATGTCTATTTTTTCATTTTTTAAATTTTTTTCTCAAAATTGGTTGAGGCCAAAAATTTGAAAAGTTAGTAATATTCACCTACATGATAAATCAGTGAAGTACGAATTTTATCAGCTGTTTCGAACTAGTTATTTAAAATATAATGAGGAAAATGATGAAAAAATTTGAAAAATTCATACTCCAATGATTTACTATGTATTTCAATTTGAACAATTTTTCAGATTTTTCGCCTGT